ACAACCCATTAAAAGGAAACCCACATTTAAATGTTTAATTGTTCATTCCACGAACTTGAAAATGATGTCAAGTTCCCATTCACTCATAAATGGTTTTGACAAACCGTTTTCACCGTGTGACTTGCCACGTGGCAAAGAATACGTCACCTCTTCGGACCTGCCCCAAAAGACGTTTGGGACCCACTCCATTTTGGACTCAAAATTAGACTAAAATAAGCCTTATAAACCAAATTTTCCAACAATAAGAAAGTCAATAAAAAATATTTTCAGTAATTAACAAAAAAAACAAATTTATTTGGGTAAAAATATGTTTCGACCTATGGAATATGAAAACTATTTTTCAAATTAAAATTTTACTATTGTCATCATAACTACCACCACCACTATTTTTTTTTCTTATTAGCAAAAAGAAACTTTATTTGGACCCAAAAAAAAATATAAAAATAAAATAATATATTTTTACGAACTTTTTTTTGCAAGTTTTACAAACTACTAGCACTACTAACAAATTTTACAAACTTTTTTTACTTACAGATGTAGCACCTACCATATTATAAAATCTGGTCATATTTCATATTCCAAAGTATTACTTTTAGATGACAAATCAAGTAGTAAGAAAAATTTATTATATTTATTATTTTCTATAACATTTTCATTTAAAGTTATAGTAAGCTCTGTACATACAATTACCATTTGTTGTGGGAATCAACATAACGGTGAAAAAACAATAAAATTCATCAAGTGACAACTAGAAAAAATTCATTAAGTGAAGTATGTGGCTCCTATGTTTGCAGGTAAGAGAGACCAATTCATTACAAATAGAAAAAATTAATACACTTTTTTTTTGGGTAAAAAACAAAAGAAAGATTTTATTAATAAAATCAACATACATTACATATGAAAGTATATCAATAAAAACAAGGATGGAACCAGGATTTCATTACCGGAGGGGTCAAAAAAAAAAAATTCACCACATACACAAAACACACATGTATGTATATATGATATATAAATTATATATACATAAAAAAAAATATTTAAATACCGTAGAAGCAATTTCTAATAGAATGAATAAATTTTTTTTTTCATGTAAAATAGAAAGAGAATTCAAGATGGAAGAAGAATGACATATATATTTTTTATAATGAGGGGCTATTTTATATATAAAATGATATATACATACATATATATATATATATATTTAAAGTTTAATGGCAAACAATAATGTTCACAGAAATAGAAGGGCCATGGTCTCCCATAGTCTTTTCTTAATTCCGTCCTTGAATAAAAAGGAAGCAAGAGAAAAAAAAAATCATAATATAAATTTCTAATGCTAACTATGTCGGTATTAAGAAGAAAACTCAATCATATGCCTGTTGAAGTTAAACGAAATTGGTGAGAAACCAACATAAAAGAAGAAACAAAAAAACAAGCCAGAATATACTCTTAACAGCACTGCACCTCAACCAGCCACAAAACACACTACACAAAGACAAGGCCAAACATACACACTACTGATTATCAACCTACTCAAGAGCTCTGGCCCTGCTAACTCTCGCTCTCAGCACTCCTACGCCACAAAAATACACGACTTCCCACTCATTAAATTTTATTTATTTTTAATCAAAGGTGTTGGAAAGTTGTTTTGTTATACCAACAAAACACAATTCAACAAATGATGAAAACAAAAAAAACAAGAGAGAAACATCACACCAAGAATGACAGCATTAGTAAAATCAAAACTCAAAACGTGTATGAAAGAGCACGTGCATCGATATTGTGTTATGAAACATTTACAACTTGTGTGTTTAGTTATTTATTATTTATTATTTATTTATTTTTATCACTTTGTGTGTTATCTAAAATTAATTGCAAAGTCCAAAGGCTTGTTTTTGCTAGCCCTCCTTAATTTGTCCAAACAAGTCTCGTGCACACAACATGTTAATGAAATGCTTCAACAGTTTTCTTATGTTCCCTAAATTGCAATGCTAGTCCATTATCTTACACTTAACTTCCAAAAAGTTGATTACAAATAGCACATATATACATACATATATATACACACTATTTGTAATATACGAATAAAAAATATGAAATAAGGGTTGTTGAGTTTTAAAATATTGAATCAGTTTGATTTTCTCACATTGCAATTTTCAAACTTATCAATTATTGTGGGCATTTTGGAAAAATGCAAAGAGTGTGACAAATAATTCACACTAAACAACTTGTATACTTTATATATTTGAGGACTTACTTTTTTAGCCAATTAGCAAAAAAATTACTAAATTAGTCAAAAAGTCAACAACTCATACCAAAAAGTCAAAGATTCTCTTTTCTCTCTACTTTTTGCACATCTTTTCATAATTAGTCAAAAAGTCATCCAAAACATACAAGTTTTTTTACCTACCTTTTTAGCCAAATAGCCAAAAAGTTACTAAATTAGCCTGTTCCCAAACGAGGCCAACTGATTAGCCATTTTTAGTTTGATGAAGGTACAAAATTATTGTAGTAGTTATTGGATATGATAGGTACATGATGAAAATTTGGTGGTAATTACTGAGCAAGGACATTATTAAGAAATTTTATTTTTATAACAGTCAACCAACTTTGGTGTATACTTTATATAATAGAATATATATATATATATATATATGTGTGTATGTGCAGATGGCAATTGTATTTTCAAAAATAGATTATTTTTTTTTAAGAGGCAAATACAATAAAATAAAGATGTTACAATTAATGGATCGATTTATTTACTTTTTATGAATGATATATATGAAACCATTACAAAATAAACTATTCAAATTATCAAAATGAAATTCGTGATGAACCGCATGAGCTTAAACAACACTGTGGAGAGAAGTCTAATTCTAAAAATAAAACCTACAATAAATATAAAATTGAATTTCTCTTAAATTCAAATAAAATGTTTAAACTAATACAGTTCTATAACTTGGAGCATATGAGTAACTTTCCTCTAAGTTTTAGGTTCAATACATACTAATTGCAATAAGTTTCATGCAACCAATCCATATAGGACATTTACTTTAACTTAATGGTCCCCCCTAAGTGAGCAATGGAATTGATTTTCAGAATTCGTTGACATATATACAAATTGGTTCGGACACCCAATTATAAAAAATAAAATAAACGTTCAAACTAATACAATTTGTCAACTAGAGAGCCAAGAAGCTTGGGCTTTTTGGAATGCCTATCGTTTTGCAGAAGCCAATATTTCATCATGTGACTAAGGCGGCGGCGGCGGCTAAACCGAGCCAAAATGGAGCCGGGGGATTTTTAGGAAAAATTATTGGGTGCTATTGAGTGTGACGTGGTGATACTCTTCATTGATCACATTATATTATGTCCCTTCTTATTTTTTAGTCATCTAATATAAAATCATAAGTCTCATTTTCTCCACTAACTATAATACTATTAGGGCATATTTGATTGACAAGATTAGAGAATGAGATTGAGATTATTAATCCGTGAATTCAATAATCATGTATTTTTTTTAAAATTTTATTTCAGGATAATTAATCTAACAAATTTGTAAAATTATTAATAATGGGGTAGGGTGAGACTATATATCCTGAGCTGAGAAATAAAATAAAAAGACTTTTTTACCCTTGACTAAAAATTAAAACACTTATTATTTTTATATAATTTTATATTTTAGAAGGCTGAAAATAATTTTAAAAAATTTGAAAATATTTTTTGATATTTATTTTTATCAAATTATCTTATATTTTTTAAAAAATAAAAAATAAAAAACAAACATGGCCTTTTGTATTTTTATTTTGCTTTTATTTATTTAGTTATAATTTTTTTCAAAATCACGTACATAAAGAAATTTTGATAAAGTAGAGATTGTAAAAACACATTGATGGAGGGTAAGATTAGAAAATAAGATAAATATAGTTATAATCTTACATTCATATGATTTCCTATCCAATGCAAATCAAACAGTGGACAAGGGGATAATTTATCCTATTAATCCAATTAGATATGAATACCACATTAATTTGATGGGATGATTAATACCTTCTTATTAGTCTTGTAAACCAAACATGCCTTGGGATACTATTTGGCGAGAAATTATAGAATATTTTCGGAATACTAGGTATTCGTATTGCATAACCAATCATCAATAAATATATTTTTTATGTTTCTCAATCACTCAATATAATATTTCATTATTCATTTTTTTTACCGATCATAATATTATAAAATATTACGTGTTTACTGAATGATTATCTTTATTTGTTGATATTTCAAGGTTAACTAATGACTTATAAAGACTCCACGTGTCACCACACCTTTGGTTGGTTCGGTGGAAAGTTGCAATATTGTCACTTTCTCTTTGCAAAATTTCGGCCGAATTAAACTCTTCCATCCAGCTTGATTCTTGATTTGATGTGGACCGTCCGTTGTGACTCTGTCCCCCACAAAAATTATGTGGTGATTTTGGAACAAATTCACACGAAATTTGAATTGATTAAAATTATAAAATTTAATAATTTTTATTAAAATTTTAAAAAATAATAATAAATTTTGAAAAATCAATAATATAGAATAATATTTTAAAACCACCAAATAATAACTGCACCACACTCATTTCATCACACTGCTACACTAGTGCAGTTTTTCCGGTTATAACTCTTTTGTCCCCATTAAACCCTAATGTCCCATGCACCGACCTCATTTTTGCCCTTAAATGCATATTACAAAGTGGATTGTGATATATATATATATACATATACATACATAACATGCATATTATTACCAATCCAAAAAATTAAAAAACAAAAAATATGATATTATTATTTGTCTACATTGTACTACACTTTATGCAATTATATAAAGCCCACCCACTCCTTTCACTCCACTCAAATGAAAGCATAGTCCTCTAATATCATCACTAGTAAGAGAAACTCTAATTCTGTGTCTACTTTCTGTATTCATATTATTTTCTAAAAAAAAATTGTCAGGTTTTTCGGTACTTTTTCTTTGTCTATCTGAATTTTGTGATTAGTTTCTGAGTTCGAAAATTTTCTCAGTTTTTTTTTTTTTTTAATTGAGAAGAGGAAGAAAGAAAGCACAATAATTTTAAGGCAGTACAGCAAATGAGGCTCTCTATGAAAGTTGTACGGCCATGCAGTGTCACACCACCCACAAAAAACATGACATCCACCCTCACAAAACCAGCTAGTTTGAGCTTGGGCATAGACACCCAAGTTCCCAAGAATTTAGAAAGGTTGTTTCACGAATCGGACGGTAGTAACTCTGCTGCCCGATTCGCACCAACAACGACTCCAGTCAAGCGACTGAACAAGCGGTGGATGGAGTATCAGGGGATAAAAGACTGGGAAGGCTTGCTTGACCCGCTTGACGAAGATTTACGTACCGAGATCATACGATATGGGCATTTCGTCGAGGTGGCTTATCGGGCATTCGACTTCAATCCATCGTCCCCGTCATATGGCAGGTGTCAGTACCCGAAAAGCAAGTTGCTCGAGCGGTCGGGGTTTCCGGAGACCGGGTATCGGCTGACAAAGAATTTACGTGCCACGTCGGGTATTCAGCTACCACGCTGGACAGAAAAGGCTCCAAGATGGGTGGGGACTCAGTCCAGCTGGATTGGCTACGTGGCAGTGTGTCAGGACAAGGAGGAGATAGCGAGGCTGGGCCGCCGCGACGTGGTGATCTCATTCCGCGGCACCGCCACTTGCTTGGAGTGGTTAGAGAATCTACGCGCCACCCTCACTCCACTCCCCAATGCCGGCAGCACGGCCATGGGTCACGGCGAAGATTCCGGCGAACCACCCATGGTGGAAAGTGGGTTTTTGAGCTTGTACACCTCTGGGACCGAGACAATCCCTAGTTTACAACAATTGGTGAGAGAAGAGATCAAGAAAATTCTCCAATCCTACGGCGACGAGCCGCTCAGCTTCACGATCACCGGCCACAGCCTCGGTGCCGCCCTAGCAACCCTCGCCGCCTACGATATCAAAACCACCTTCAACCACCACGCGCCGCTAGTCACCGTCATTTCCTTCGGTGGACCCCGTGTCGGCAACCGTAGTTTCCGCCACTGCCTCGAAAACCAAGGCACAAAAGTTTTGCGGATAGTAAATTCCGATGACCTAATAACAAAAGTCCCCGGATTCGTGATCGATGCGGCGGCGGTGCGAGAAAATGACACGGCAACAATCAGGCACCACAACGACGCAGCCCCAGGCTTTCTAACTATACCGGGGTGGATTCAGAAGCGGGTGGAGGATACCCAATGGGTATATGCCGATGTGGGAAGTGAGCTCCGGCTGAGTAGCCGGGACTCACCCTACCTTGCCGGCATCAATGTGGCAACTTGCCACGAGCTGAAGACTTATCTTCACCTAGTGAACGAGTTCGAGAGCTCCGCGTGTCCTTTCCGGGCCACCGCGAGGAAGATGATGAAGAAGACAAGGAGATTTTTGTAGAAAATTTTCATATAGAGAGAGAGAGAGATTGTACGGATGTTTGTACCTAATTTTGTACATAACACAATGATTTCCCGCCAATTGAAGAGTGGGTTTTGAACAGTAACATGATTTGGATTTTTGAGATTTAGAAAAAACTAATGTTGATTTTTGCTTTAGTTGTTGTGTGAAACAATGGTTGTTGCTTTGGTTTTTTAAGGGTTAACAGCTGTTGAGTAGGTGATACATAGGTTATTTATAGAACACCAAGTTTAAATTTTTTGAACTGCTAAAAAAAGGACAATGTTTGTTTTATTTGGTGAAAATAATATACTTTATTGTTAAAATTCATATAATTCACAAGATAGTTTCTTTTTCAATAAAAAAAACCCATAAAATAATTATTAAATAATTTTCAACTTTAACCTTTTTACTCAGTTCAAATTGTTCAAGCGTTTAGATGTTAAATCATAAATGGATCCCATCTGTACCTATTGTTAGGTCCCGTTTGGCGACTTATCTTTTTAGTCAAAAAGTCAAAAAGTTACCATTTTAGCTAAAAAGCCAACAACTCATAATAAAAAGTCAAAGATTATCTTTTCTCTCTACTTTTTTCACATCTTTTCGTAATTAGTCAAAAAGTTATCCCAAACATATAAGTTTTTTTTATCTACTTTTTTAGCTAAATAGCTAAAAAATTACTAAATTAGCATGTTCTCAAACGAGGCCTTAGTATAAATAAAGAGTACTACAAAGATTTTATATGTCACATGTCATTTGTATGTTGTATTAAGAAAAATTGCTAAACAAAAAATAATAATGATATTGCTAGAATTTTTCTATAAATTATGTTAAGAAAAATGTCAAACATATAGAATTTTTATTAAAAGAATCCTACGTAACAATATGATATGGAGTATTGCTATTTACTACAAAATATTAGATTTAATTTATAAATTCAATGATGTGACAATTAATTGGTATATTAGAAGTAACACTCTTTTTCATATTTTTCCTAATGCCAATCATGTCACTTACATATTATTGGATCTATAAAATGAACCAAAAAAGTAAATTTGTATATCATTTTTCATATGATCATACTGATGTTTGACTTTCACAGAAGGAAAAATGATATACAAGCTCACTACTTAAACTCATTTTCTAGATCAAATGATGTGTAAGTTATATAATTGATTATAATTAGAGAAGGTATGAGAAAGTGTTACTTTTTATATTCTAATTGATTATCATATTATTGGGTTTAAAAATTAAATCTAATTTTTGATCTTAAATAACAATGTTCAATCAATAAAAGACTTGAATGATACACAATATTTTGTATAAATTTTTATATAAGCATTGTCCATAAGCATGATTCAACTTATACCTTAACAGCTTATAGCTTATTGCTGTGAACATAGGTTGAGTTTTGACTTATAAATTAAGCTTCTCCTCCCCCACTCAAAGAATAAATTGATTTTTTACTTACAAAAAGTTATAAGCTGTATTGTTAAGCTAAATCAAACACATTAAAATAGCTTAAATTAAGTTAAAAACTGAAATAAGATAGAAATAAATCCTACCAAACAGGGCCATTGTAATTTTTAAAGGGTGATACTTCTTATACTACTACAAGGATATGATATATGAAATTGTAAATATATTTAACAAAAAAATTAGGAGTAATATTATACATACAAACAATTTTTAGAATCTATAATATTATTATAGTGGATCTCATTTGTAATATTAAAATTATATTACTCTAGAATCTATCAATTGTAAAAAAATTATTAATTTGTATAACATTTTTCAACACTTGTCATTAATAAAGCTAGGAAGCCAGCTTTCTCTAAATTTTCTCGTCTTTTGTGAATTTTATTTAAATTTTAGTCAATATATTAAATTTTTAGATGTTTTTAAAAGCTCTTAAAACTTATAAAATTATTTTATTGTTTTGGAAAAATTGGAATTTATTTTTTTATTATATATATTTAAATTTTGATTTTTTAAATATTTTTTGAAGATTTACTAGAAAAAAAAATTATAATTAACTATTACAATAAAGCTGAAAAGGCTGTATTAATATTTTGCCAAAGAGTGCTGCTATTAGCACCTGTCAAAATTCTTTGGACCCCCTTTTTTATAATTTTTTTTAATTACAATTATACCCTAAAGTAAAATTACATTAAAAGACATTATTAAATGGAATACCCACCTATTAATAAAAACTAATACTCTATAATATTTGACACTTACCCCCACCCCCACCTCCAACTCTAACTATACATATTTCATGTTTGTAAACCATAAACCTATTACTTTTCATAACTAACTAACATAAACCATAAATCTATTATTTTTCATAATCATCTTAAATCGTGAATGTGTCATCTTCATCACTATCATCAACGCTATTGAACTTGAAAGTTTTGCTTCAAGCATAACGTATACTTCATCACTTATTTCACTGTGTAGAGCAATGGAGGACAAGGACAACATTCTCGGTCGTTTATCTATCTTGTATTAACATTCTCAGTCGTTTGTTTCATTCGAGCTGTTCGGTACTGGTTTGCTAACTGTTAGAATTATGTTCGGTAATACAGTACTGAACATAATCCTTTCGTTCAATACATAGGTTCCGAACATTAATGCAGATAGTCAGTTATGTAATTTTCTTTGTTAAACTAACTTAGAATGGAAAATAGTGAATTGAAATGGATTTAAGTTATGTATTTTGAATGGATTTAATTCATGTTATTTTAAGTTGTGAATTGGAATGGATTCAAGTTACACAGTGATTAACAAATTTTGTTCGGACATACAGTGCTGACAGGATCATTATTGTTTGGCAAAACAGTTCTGAACAAAATACATTTTTTCGGTTGCACAGTGGTGAACAAATTGTTTTGGGCTACATTCAGAATTCTGATGGCGATTCAGACGATGATTCTGTTTTTTCTCATCTTGCAAACGGTTATGCAAATCCCGTAGAAATTAGAGTATCTTTGATCGATCTCAGAAATGACGAAGATACAAAAAGTAACGAAGAGGATGATGATGGGAGGATGAGAAAGGTTACTGATTTTGTGATACGGAGAGAGTTCAGAGAAGATGAGAGTCGTCGGAATGCTCCGTTGACGGCTGAGACGCGACAAGAGTAATGGAGGGTTAGGGTCTAAGAATTCTATACTGGACCAAAGCTCCAAACTCTGAAGATTAAGTGAGTCAGGGAAGGAGAGGGATGAAAAATTAGGTGAGTGTGAATTTCATTGTGAAAATATTATGAATATGGATAGATTTGGTAATAAGGGGGGTGTCTAAAAAAATATTATTAAAATTTAAGATTTATGGTTAGGGTCCAAAGACATGAGAGGTTTAAAGAATTTTAATAAGTGTTAATAGCAGCACTCTTTGCCAAATTGAAGAATACCATGGTACCCTTTGACGGCGATCATAATTACGTCAATTGCCATCGCTTCACCGACCTGCTACGTAAGCACTGTACTTCCACATGCGGTCACATTTGTCATAGGCACCGTCCACACCGAACCATGGGTCGGTTCCTCAGAAAATGACCAAAATACCCTCCTTTGTTTTATGAGTAATATGTAACAATAATAACATACTTTTAATTCAATTCAAATTATCAATGGTTGTGATTCATAATTTCAAAATGGAATTGGTTTCTCTCCGATCTAATATATGGACAATTCAATTTAAATTATGGTTGGGTAAAGGGTTATTCGAACTGCACAATCCGCCTAAGCCGAATCGATCCGCATATAAATCGGCAATTTCGCAAACACAATGCGGGCGGATGCAGTTTGAAATATAATATTATTGCGGGTCGTAGGTTTTACACGCACCCGTAAGAACTCGCTCGCACTTAGAAAGATGTGCTTGTGTTATTTTATGATTTTATTTAAAAGTTTAGGATTTTGAATGATTTATTTGTGTTAAGAATTGATTTTTGTTGTGTTTTTAATTTTATAATTTTAATTTAATTAATTATTAATGTTAAGAATTTTAGAAAAATGAGGGGAAAATGGCCCAAAATAAATATTTATAAGAAGGAAAAAAAAGGCCAAAAAATAAATTTTTAAAGAAAAAAAGTCCAATCCACAAATCGCCCACAACCGCTCGCACATCCGTGTACCCTATCCGCACAAACCGCAACCTGCACTGCGGGCGATTACGGGTTCAATTTTCTCTAAACCGCATGTATGCAGACGGGTCCAAATCGCAAACCGAACCGTCCAAAACCAAACCGCAAGCACCCATAGTTTAAACTAATTTGGTCTATTGGGACTCGCACGGGCATTGCTTCAATAATTTATATTCTGTCATTTTTTAAAGTTTTTTGTATATTAATTATTTATGAAAAATATTAGATTGATTTGATAACTCTAATTATAAGTTTACAATCTAAACAATTGATGACAATTATAATTTTAAAAATAGATTATCTCTTTTTTAAACACTAAAAATAATAAAATCATATCACTACAACTATCAGATTTATTTGACTTTTTGTATGAATGATCTACACATGATAACTCAAAAATAAACAGAGTGTCATCAAAGCAAAGCCTATGATAGGATCAATGGATTGAATGGGACTGTCAATAGGGCCGGCCCTGAAGTGAGGCAACTAAGGCCGTCTTAGGCCCCTAATTTTGAACAAAATTTAGGGCCTCCAATTAGGAGCGTATATCATGTCGTGTTATTTCATAATTACTTAAATATTAGCTCAATTAAATTATTTTCACGTTGTCATGTGATATTATTTTAATTCATGCCCGATTAATATTTAATGTGAAAACTTTCACTTTTAGTTAAAAATAACTTAACAAGTGTATGGAGAGATTAAAATTTTTCCCATAAGTTTAATTTTATAAAATTTATTTCTACTAAATGAAATTATTCATAAAAAGTTTGATTTTAATTCAATTGCATTTTTATAATTAAAAAAATTGTACCTTATTACTATATATTTTTTACTAGATTGACTCTAAAATAGGTAACGAAAAAATACATATTTTAAATGAAAAAAAGATATTAGCC